GTAAAACATGAATCAGAGGATTGTGTGGGATTGCAGGGTGTGCGTGCGTGCATGCGTGNATGCAGATCTATCATGAATGAGATCTTCGAGTCTGTGGTGATGAGGCTCATACGGGAAATTACCCTCTGCCTCTAACTGAAGAACATTGAACATCAAAGTAGGTTTATCAAAGTACGGTACTGCAACACAAGTTTGGAGATGAATGATAAAGTGTACAGTAAACAAACCTCAAACTGTGGGACGATCCGGTAGAAACAGCTCACCGGAAAACCGTGAAATCAAGTCAATACGACGAGAACCAGCGCGACAATCAAAACGTCTCGTGTCAAGCGATAACAACAAGGAGTCGGGCAAGGTTCGTGCACATGCATATGAGGGGCCAGTGACCAATCGAGGCCGATCAAATGTCGCGATTTCAAGGTCAAGAACCACAGTGAGATGGTCGTTCACGTGTGTGCGTCCGTAAAACATGAATCAGAGGATTGTGTGGGATTGCAGGGTGTGCGTGCGTGCATGCGTGTGTGTGTGGCTGTGTGTAGAACAAGTCATAACGTGGACATACTACAGAATCAATACAGTTAGACATGCGGACAAGTCACGTGTGTGAGCGAATGGGGGGTCAAATGGAACGAGTGCAGTGGTGCATCGATCATGGAACAATGAACAGTTGTCAGTAATGGGGGGACAAACAGAAACGGGTGCGATTACGTTAGTTCGTAAGGGGACGAGTGTAATGGGTCATACAATGTTTTGGGTGCAGGGCTGAATGGAATCCACAATACCATTTGACCGATAATCTTACCGTTATTCGTAATAAACAACTATCCTCGTTCCGGTACATTTTTATTAATTTGTAATTTGCTTTTTACTGTTTGTCCCCCTCCTCCTGGAAATTTGTATCGAGCAATGTTCCTTTGATACCAAGGTTCACGCGCGATCTACTTTTGAGGTATTGCCAACGCTTTAGAAAGGGAATGTTTGGAATAGCCAACTCGTTTTTTTCATGGGCAACAGGGACTGCTGATGATCTTGGATAAGGGTTTCATGAGGTGAATACATTTTAATGCGATTGAAATCTTTGTGATTACCGAAAAAGCGCACGGGACAGCTGTTTCGTGCAGTTTGTGACCCGTGAGCTATGCATACCATTTGTGACCCTCTCAGGATGCGAAGCGCGAACTCTCGGGTCGGGACTTCAAATCCTAACCCCTGAGCTGATAGAGATACGAGAAGTACGCACTGCTGACGAGTCCAGCGCAGGGCAAAACGGCTGTTCATTGTTCTTTGTCAGTCATGAAAAAGATTTCCATCACATTTTTATTACCACTGCTCATCACATAAAGCTGCAATGGGATTCATGATCTACACCTCAAACGGCAGCAGTAAGACACAAATCAATCAGGCAAGATCGAGATATGCGTTATCACCGAAATAAGGACGACCCTGATGATGTTTTCATAGTGGAGCTGAATCGAGAAATTGGAGTGCTTCTTTCAGTTTTGAGACCCTTCCGGTATTTGGATAGCATTATTTGACAATACGATTGTTCGAAGCCAGTTCTCGTTTCCGAGGCATGATTTACGGAGTTTAGGGCCAGATGCTGTCACCTACGCTTACCTTTCCTTGATAGCTTTTTTCTGGTGTCCAAAATGTTCATGATTGAATTTTCGCTGTTTTCGCTTCGAATATGTTACTACAGTATGTTCGGGGCTTATTACACCATCTGACTATCTTTTGCGAGCAGATACGAATATCAAAAATGGTATCACTCCTGGATTTTCGTTGGCAGTGGGTCTCTTCCATCCCGCCATGGTCTGTCATATCTCATAGAGGTGTGCTTGTTTGGATGGTTCCTTCAAAGTCATTGAAGGTGACGTGAGGATGTGGCCGTTGTCACCTTTGGTTAACATGAGCGTAGCTTACACCGGTTTGTTAACCACTTATTCGCCACGGTTGAGGGTTTCCAGGCCGAAGAACAAACTCGGGATGTCCATTGTGCTCCTTTTAAAGTTGATTCAGGTGCCTGAAGTCCATGTGGAATAAAATAGTTTTTTGCGGTA